TTTTTTTTTTTTCCTCTACTCTGCTGTTTGTTGACTTTCAGTTAAAGGCAAGGATTTTGTGCTATTAGCTGTAGTAAACTTTTTTTAGGAGAGGGTTTTTGAATGTTTGAGAGGTAATAAGATCTTTCATTTTTAGATGCTTTATCACAGTTTTTAGAAAATAGATTAAGTGGGAGAAAACAGATGATAGTTTTTGTGCTGAAATTGCAAATTCTGAAACAGCATTTGTTTTCATTTAGTACTTTTAATTCACCTACCTCCTTATTTTCATTTGTTTATTTTACTTTTCTACTTCGCTAAAAAGTTATTGTTTTTTGTTGGAATTTTTTAGCAATTATCGTTGATGAGGCAAAATGCTGAATCATCCATCAACAACTATATTTGCTGTGGCAAGTACTTGTGGCAGCGATACGTGCAACTCAGTTACTTCTACGGCGGCACAACGCAGTTTACAAGTACAGTGTGAGACAAGTAATGCAACGGGTTCTGGCAACATTGGTAATGTATGCAGCAGTAACGATACGGGTCAGTTGTGTCGTCAAAATCAGGTACTAATTTATTACCGTTCGCTTTCTGACCGGAGAAGTGTGCGTTTTCTTTTTTTCTTTCCAATAGACCAGTAGAAGAGAGGGAGGGTCATTTAATGAGTCTGAAGTGCAACAGATTTTTACCGCTTCCTTTGCCAATAAGGAGTAATGACGTCAGTGATTTTAGTATTGAATGCTCAAAATTTTTTGTTTTTTTATCTTGTTCTCTACTTCAATTCTTACATTTTCCTGACCTTTTAGTTTTTATCCTCTTTGTTCCTTTATCTCGTAAATACATCAGTCGTTTTCTTGGTGCATTCTTTTTTGTTGTTGAAGCAATCTTTGAGTTCAGTTAGGGAAAATATTAATAATTTCGTTCGGTTATAAAAATACTTTAGACGACGCCTTGGTCTTTAATGAATGTTTTTCCACAACACAGCGCACATGCAGCAACTACTTCACGTGGAACATTCTTCAATGAGCCATCTAGCCTAGTGCATATGCGCTACGGTAGCGCTGGTGGAAATGAAGAAGTTGGTAAGGACCAACAGATGAACCCTACATTATACCAGGTTTTATCTTATCTGCTTCTCATTATCATCACATACTTTGCTCCACTTAAGTGGTATTCTGTGATAGTTCGTCACGTTCTTATCACTTTAAAGACCACCTCACTGCTTTTCATTCATGTTTTAATTGAAGTTTAGTGAACGTTCTTTTTGAAAAATGCGTTCCTTTGCTTCAATCATTGAAAAACCAGACCGTTTCAGAATGAATCTATGTACTGTTTGTAAAAATTGATGATTTAAACAGAGAACAAAATGCATTGGGACGAGTTTGTAGCAGTTCATACAACATAGATATTTGCTTGCACTTATATTAGGATCACGACTTTTTTTTTTTTTTTTTTTTTTGCTGATTAAGTATCCTCTATAAGGATCATTTATTTGAAGTATTGATATTTTCTGTGGCAACATATTTGCCTTAAGTTCTTTACCAACTATTAGAATGTTTTTAATACTACTTATATGTGTACTGCTTTATTTTATATGTTAAATTAAGAGTTTAAGAGGTTGCTCATTTAAAAAACAATTTTTTTTTCTTTTGTCAAAAATTCTTTTCATTCTTGTAGGAAACTTTGTTTTGCAGTAGTATTATCACTGAGGACGGTGTCTCTATAGCAGAAGATTAGAAATATTCGCTAAGAAATCTGTCATTGTCACAAAAATATTAATGGTTTTCAGGAGGAACTTTTTATTGTTTATGTTGGCAAATTTTATCTACGCTTTTTCTATTTATTACGTTTTTTTTTTTTTTTGGTTTTTACTGACTCGTAATTTTAAGCTTCAAAGTGATCTGAGCATAGTGAAATTTGCTGTTGCTCTGGTAGTTGCTGACGAGCGCTATTGTTCGTTGAGATGAACGGTTGATATATTGTTTCGAAAACTATAAAATACTGCAGCTTATTCTGCAAAAAAATTCTATTTTTGTATTATTCAGAGATTTTAGTCTATTAATTTTGTTTTCTATTGTTCACGTTTATATAATATTCGAGGAATGAGTGTAAAACTCGGCGCCTTGGATCAAAAAAAAAGTGTTATTGTTGTGAATGTTGACATGGCTTTAACTTTTGTTCAGCGAAGAATTTTTTTAAAATTTTGTTCGTTTTGACGAGGAGTTTAAGCCAGGAGCAGTTCATTATTTGGTGTACTTTTATAGCGGATTAGGCTACAAATAATAAGGGCTAATTGTAAAAGTCTTAAAAGTCTGGAAGTCTGGAAGTTTTTCTAAAGTAGTATGGAAGACTTAAAGCTAGGTTTCTGTTGGAGCTGTACTGGGAGTTTACATGGTTATCGGATTCTGTAGCTTTTTATTTCCTAATTTTTATATTCATTGCATATTACTCAGAAATTTCTAACGAAGCTGTTTTTTTTTTTTTTCAGTTTACTTATTATAGCACTTTGAACTGTTGTACTTTCATATTTCCATAAATTTTTTTTAGTTTCAAAGTTGTGATTATTCTTCTTCTTGTTTCTCATTTGGATAATTACTTGATAATTTTTTTACATTTGGCTACTTATGCAGTTGTTAGAAGGCAATGAAAAAGCTCAGTAAGTTTTTGAACGTATTTTTTTAGCTTATCTGAAAGTGATGATTATGTAAAGATGGTCATGACCTTACCTTCTGGTTCTTTTTTTTTGTTGTTGTTGTTGTGAAGCTAATTATTTGTCCGAGGTTTTTATCGTGAGTTATAATTTTTTTTTTCTGCTGTAGATGGTGACAACAAATCTTATTGGCATACTGATTTTTCTGAAATTGGTATTTTCATAGTTTACCGATGGCTTACAAATTTAAAAGATTTGAGTACGTATTGATTGGTTGCTGAACTAGTTTAATCGTGCCACCAAGAGAGTAGTTGTTGGTGAGTACCTGTTGAAGAAAGCTATCAATAGATTACTGTTCTTAAGCTTTTTGGCATTGATTTATTAGATTAAAGTCTGTTAGGTAACGACGGTTAAAATGTTCAGTTGTCGTTTTAGCTGGTTTTGTTATGCTGCTAGGAAATCGAGTTTGACAGTTCTACCTTTTCAGAGTGGTCATTATATTAATTCTGACGTCTTCCTTTTTGATCTTTAACATGTAAATTTTTTTCATCTTTATTGGAAACATCTATCTTTTGGTGAACCATTGTGAATTTAGAGTAAAAAACGGTGGACATGTTTTCTTTTTCGCTTATGAAATAAAACAGCGTTTTTATTAGGCCATTGCCTGTTGGTTTAGTAGAATTTGAGGTTTACTTGCATTGAAAGTTTGACGGAGAAACCAACAGGTATGGCTGTAAAATTTGGAGTGGGATTTGATTGCATAATTAGTATTAGAGCTTTTTTTGCAATAGTATTTTAATTAGTTTTTATTAAATTCAGTATTTTGCGGTGTTTGGTACATCTCTTAATGTTTTCATTACTGAAAAATAGTTGTTTGATAATAACGTTGCCTCTGTACACAGTAGTGCTGCCAGAGGTTTTCAGGGACTTGTTACCTTTGTTATTCTAAGTATTTTCCAATTTTCTTATTGTTTTTTATACTTATGTAACATTTCTTCTCTTTACCTTAGTATTATGTCCACGTCAGCGTCAATTTTTGCTGACCTATTTTCATTATGTCCCTTATTTTTTTTTTTTAAATTGTAAATTGGTATTGTCTATGGCGCTCCTTGTTACGGGCGTGTAAAAAGTCGGTTCAAATTTGTAAATGTTTTTTTTAGATTATGTGATCAGTATATTGTATTTTTAAGGGATTATCTTTATTTAGTGTTTGCAAATGAGACTGATAAGACGAGTGGTCAATTACTGTTG